AGTTAGAACTTGAATAAAGTTATAACTTGAGTTAAATTTTTTTTTTTTTTGAGTTTTGATCCAAAAGAACAAGCCCTTAGTCTTGGTGGTTGGCTTCATTAATTTGTAAACACGCATTTGTTTCTGATAGGTAAGTGTCTCAAATTGATTTTGAGAAAGTTACTATTTTGTAATTTTTGGGTAAGTTATTGTTTTATGTTTTTGTGCAAGGGTTATTAGGAGTCTATAAATAAGTGCTTTGTATAAGGTTTTGTATGTGCTCAGAGAAAAGTGCAGAAAAAGAGTGCCTCCTTTTTGGAGAGAAAGAGAGAAAAGTGACGAGAAAGATAGACAAAGGGTGTAAGGGGTTTTAGGTAGAGAGGAAAAGTGAGAAAGTTATACGAGTGTGTAATTTTGAAACTGTTAGTGAATTTTTCTCCCTCTTCTGTGGACATAAATTTTTTTTCCGAACCACATATATCCGTGTATTCTCTATTTTTCTGTTATTTCGTTTCAATCTATTTTTCTGTTGCGTTGATGTAGAGGTGTGTTTTTCTCCAACAACTGGTATCAGAGCTGTGGTGAAGATAAAAAAAAGAGATCAAGATGATGTTCAAGATAAAGTTTTGAGCAGATTGAGCTTTTTGATGTAAAAAATAATTTTAGCATCTCGCAGAATATGGTGAAAGATGTTCTGATTCAACAGGGATTACTGAAAAAGCTCCAAGGAAAGAAGCCAGAAAAGATGATGAAAAGATGAAAGATGGAGATTGAGAAGAACTGGAAGCAAGAGTGGTAAGCACTATTCGTTTAAGTTTGGCTCTTGAATTGAAATATAGTGTTATTCTCCTTCTGAGTTATGGAAAATATTAAAAAAAGTTTATATGTCGAAATCCCTAACAAATATATTATATTTGAAGAAACAATTGTTTGAGTGAAGATAGCTGAAGAAAGTGATGTTAGAGACCATAAAAATAATTTTAATAAGTGCATAACTCAGTTATTAAGTGTAGATGTCAAAATTGATGAAGAATATAAAGCGATACTTTTGTTGGCCTCCCTACCTAAATAATATGAGACTTTAGTGACTACACTTTTCATTGGAAAGACGACGTTGACTGCAGATGAGGTGTCAACTACTCGATTAGAGACTGTAGATAAGAAGAAGCTAGTAGTACGTTTCATACTGAACAAGTTCCAGTGGCATAGTCAGATTTGAATAGGGGTAGGAGTAAGTCACGATGGAGATGTTATGATAAAAAAGACGATCGTTCTTGATCCCGTACAAAAAAGGATATTGAGTACTACTACTATCATACGAAGGGGCATATTAGAGAAACCATGAAGAACTGATGAAGCATCTAGAAGAAAAAAGAAAGTAAGAACTCGAGGAGACTTTAGATTTTACAGATGTTGTTAGCGACAAGTATGAGAGTGAAGATGATGTTTATTCTGTTACTGTTGATAAAAATATTTCTGACTCTTGGATCTTAGATTATGGATGCTCATTTTATATATGCCCATATAAGGAGTGATTTGATTCTTATAAGCCCTGTGATGCTGGTATTCTGTTGATGGCTAATGATTCTAGTGCTAAAGTTGTTGGAATCAGTATTGTGAAGGTGAAGATGTTTGATGGAGTTGTGAGGACATTACCAAATGTTAGACATATTTCTCGACTAAGGAGAAGTTTGATTTCTTTAGGGTGGTTTTATGCAAGTCAGGAAAGGTGATTTAATAGCCATGAAGGGTGAAAATGTGAAAACTTGTATAAACTGATTGAGACTACAGTTGTTGGTGGAGCTATAAAGGTGGAGCCAAGCCATGAAGAGTCTTCTTTTGCTGTTAAAGAAGTTGCATGAGTAAAAAAGTGCAACAAGATAATGGCAGTTGAAGATGATAAAGACAAGATAGTGAAGACTTATGACAGTGAAGATGCTTTGAATAAGAAGAAAAAGATAGTTTCTTGTATCAAGTTTGATGAGAGTTTGAACTTGACGCATGCTTATTCTTGTTGAAGTTTGCATCGTCGGTGTGATGACAGGACGAGTGTCGAGATTGGATACTCATTGTGTGAGTTGAGAGAGTTTGAATCAATGTGAAGATTGTTAGGTAAGTGTCTCAAATTGACTTTAGGAAAGTTACTATTTTGTGTTTTTTTGGATAAGTTATGGTTTCATGTTTTTGGGCAAGGGTTGTTAGGAGTCTATAAATAAGTGTTTTGTGTAAGGTTTTATATATGCTCAGAGAAAGTGTGCCTCCTTTTTTGAGAGAAAGAGAGAAAAGTGAGGAGAGAGATAGACAAATGGTGTAAGGGGTTTTGAGAAAAGTGAGTGAGAAAGTTGTATGAGTGTGTAATTCTGAAACTGTTAGTGAATTTTTTCACAATTCCGTGGACGTAAGAAATTCTTTCGAACCACATATAAATATTTGTCTTCTCTATTTTTCTGTTATTTTGTTTCAATTTATTTTTTTTGTTGTGTGAATGTAGATGTGTGTTTTTTCCCAATAGTTTATCTTCTTTCTTATTCATTTGGGTTAATTTCACAAATGACCCCTGAAATTTATCCTTAATTTCACTTTGATTTCTGATTTTTAAAACGTCCCACATATAATCTTGAAGTTCTACTCTATTTCAGTTTTGGTCCTTATGTTAACTAAGGATTAAATATTTGACGAATTTGTGTGTATTAAAGCCTAAAATTGAAACAATTAAAATTTAGAAACTATTTGTAGAAATTAACCTTTGTTTTTGGTATTATTTTAAATCAAAACTTTAGATGTTCCTAATTTTAGTCCATAATTTTTACATATTACGTCAAATAATTTACAGTTAGTTAATAGAAGGATCGAAACTAAAATAAAATAAAATCTCATAGATAAACTGTGCAACGTTTTAAAAGTGACGGAAATCTAAGGTATCATTTATTCATTTTGATTTAGCAATACAACTAGTATTAATAGTGATAACGAAATTGTAGATATGCTCGAGTTTGAATTTTCACCAACCTAACGAATTTACAAATATTCAAATGATATTCTCTCTCTATCGGTAAATTGTGTACTTGTATATACACTTCAAGAAAAGTTAGTAGATAATAGATTCGTAACGTATTCAGATTTTTCTAATCCGCTGAATTGACCCTTAATCTGCATAATTTGATCTGCAAATACCCTTACTTTTACTAGTGTTGAAAGGCCTTGCTTCCCATTGTTTTGATGTTGCGACTTGTGGGCTTTTTTTTTTTAATCTTTCATTTGTAATAATAATTGTTATTATCTCGATTATTTATTGCACTGTTTGTTTAGTGTTTAGTTGTCTTTTTTATCTGTAAAATATGTTTCTTTAAAGGTTGCTTACGATGTCGATTGATCGATTTTTACATCAATTATAGAGAATTTATTTAAAGAGTCACGTGAGTACTTGATCTTATATATACTCTTTTAGCTGTGTTCTGCTTGTTTTTTACTCTTGGAACCCATTACAAATTATCTTCATTTACTTTACTGATTTAATGGGAGGGGCTAGGTGGGTGGATTTGTATTCATATTTTATATTTTCATGTTTTAGAATTTATTTATTTATTTATTTATTTATTTTTTGGAAAAAATCCCCTCAAGTAGGATTGTGTACACGGTCTGATTAAAACCTGGACCAATAGTCCTCAGATCGCCTGCCTGGTTCCACCCTCAGCACCGTTAATAAACGATTTAAAACCAAAGTAGACCGACCATTTGCTAAACGGTTTGATTGGATTTGCAATTTTTCCTAACGGTCCAGATCGGACCCGATCATTAAGTTTATATATTTTATTTAAGAGAAATAGTAGGAAATAAGTCAATATGAAAAGCTTAAGAAAGTATATAGACAAATTTTTAGTTATAAAAATTAATATGTCATAACTTGTCAAGTTATGGTTTATAACCAGATGAGTTATGGACAAATTTATCAAGTTATGGTTCATAGTCAGATAAGTTATGGATAAAAATCGGGAATAATTTGTCAAGTTATGGTTCATAACCAGACAAGTTATGGACGAAAACAGTAATTTGACATATTTATTAACTTATGCAAACTATTAACCTATTAATTTTAATTCATCTCAAATTTTAGCATATTTTTCTCTTTCTCTCTTTATTTAAAAACACCTTTGAGCATTTTGAGCAAAATTACGTAATTTTGACTTTCCGTTCTTATGGACTTTTGTTTTGATTGCATGTTATTGTCATTTGTTAATTTTTGGTTTTTGATAACGGTAATATTATTAGTTATGGATTGTTTTTTTTTTGCTTTGAATTGCATGTTATTGTTGCTACCTTTTCGATGACCGTAATATTACTAGTTAATAGTTATTGATTTTTATTTTAGTTGAACAACATATTATTATTATTTGTAATTTTTAAAATGCTAATTGTAATTTTTAAAATGCTAATTGTAAAAGATGATATGCATTATGTAACATATGATTTTATTAATTAAAAAAAAACACTAACGATCCAAATCGTGATTAAAGTGCGTTTTGTTGATAGATTTGTACTATGATATAATTTGTAGTTCGTTATAATATTTTTTCTCATAAAAAAATATACGTAACCCACGGTCCGATTTTGTTTTATAAACAGTCAGGTTTGGTCTAAATTTTTTGAAACTGTTAATAATAGTCCGGTTTGAGACCGAATCAAACTGTGCACAAGGTAAAAATAAAATTTCAATTTTCTATTAGAAAAAAAGAAAAGAAAAGAAAAGAAAGCACGTTTTTAGCGTGTGAGTCAGGCACTCAGCTGCCGGGTCGGCTCCATCCAAACTCCAAAGTTCATCACTGAGAAGCTGAGAACCCAAGCTCCCACTCTAATGTTACGCTCAGCCCAAAATCTCCTACGCAGAACCTCACCAAAGCTTCCTGCACCCCCACGCTCATCCTTCGATCCTTCGACGCATTCAATCCTCCAAATCACTTCCCCGCCACCACAAAACGATCAATCGCAGCGGAGCTTGTGGCGGCGGCCCTTCGGGCGGGCGGAGCCTCTCGATATGGCGGCGGAAGAAGGAGATGAGCAAGGAAGGCCTGATCGTCGCCAAGGAGCTCAAGAGGCTCCAGTCCGACCCGTTCCGGCTCGACCGGTTCATGCGGTCCCACGTCTCTCGCTTGCTCAAGTCCGATCTCGTCTCCGTCCTCGTCGAGCTCCAGAGGCAGGGCCAGATCTTCCTCTCCATGAAGGTTTGCGAGTTTCGCTTTTGGTGCTTTTCGTTAATTTGGGTAAAAAACTAGAGAATTAGGAATGGAAGGAAGTGAACTTGGTGATGATTAGGTTTACCGTGTTGATAGATTTCTGGATGTAATTTTGGCTCTGTCTGGATTGATGGAAAGTGTTTTCTTGATCGTATTTTTCTTTCCACTTAATTTATATGTGAGAGAGGATTTTTTTTTTCTTTTCCGAGAGAAAAAGAGTTCAAAATTTGCATTTTTGTCTCTTTATGTGTAACTTTTAGCAATTTGATGACTCTTCTCGTTCAGTTCGTTAGAGTTGAGTTTTTTCCGTTTTCTCTCGGAAAAATTTAAATTCAAGTTTTTTTATTATAGTATTTTCTATCACATGAATTCATATTTTTAACTCAAACTCTTAATTCGAACTAGCGAAATGAATAGGTTATTAGTAGTTGTTGTTCTTGTTTCTTTAGTACTTTTAGTGGTTCCTATATCTGTGATGTTCCTTGGATTATTTACAAGTGGCATTCAAGCTCTTATTTTTTCAACTTTAGCTGCGGCTTATATAGGAGAATCCATGGAAGGTCATCATTTACTAGTTTTCGATATGGTCTTTTAAGGATATTCTTTTCTTGCTTTGAGGAAATTTTTTGAAATATCTCATGTCTGGAGGGGCCAACTTCATGTTAACTTGTGCAAATTTATCTTGTGATTAGTGGTCTTGATGTATAAATCTGTCTCCTTCTTTGGTGTATATTCTGGGTGTGTTCTTTTGTGTATTTAATGATCTAGAAAAGTGACGATTAAATATTAAAAAGGAAATGAAAAAAGATTTGATATAGATATACAAGTGGAGAAATCTTGATAAGATCTACAGTGATGAGAATTACATGGAGTATCTTAATCAGGTCCCCTCGAGAATTCTTTGCTTTTTCTCTTGCTTTTTCTTGAGTTAAGTGTAAGTTCGGACCGGTGTTATATTGTGGGTGAATATTGTTATAACTTGAGAACGTAATAACTTGAAAAGAGAACATTATATATAGCTTGTCTCTGGTTAGAATCTAGAAATATAAATTTCACACGAGATATGAAAGATATTCGCATGGATTTTCAGTGAACATAGAAAGATATGAAAACGGAGCGTATATAAGTCTGTGGATGGATGCAATTGTGTTTGTTATGATGTTATTAACTCATATTATAGAAATTTCGATTTTTGTTGCCTAATTCTAGGTTGGCTATTTTTCAGCATCTAGTTTTGCACTTTACTAACATGCATTTCTTTCTTCAGTTATATGATGTGGTGCGCAAAGAAATTTGGTATCGGCCAGACATGTTCTTTTACCGGGACATGCTCATGATGCTTGCAAGCAACAAAAAGGTTGACGAAGCAAAGCAGGTTTGGGCAGATTTAAAGAGTGAGGAAGTTCTGTTTGATCAACATACGTTTGGGGACCTTGTTAGAGCTTTCCTAGACAATGGATTGACTTCTGAGGCGATGGACATATATGATGAAATGAGACAGTCTCCTGATCCTCCAATATCTCTGCCTTTTCGAGTTATATTAAAGGGGCTCATTCCATACCCAGAATTACGAGAGAAGGTGAAAGACGACTTCCTAGAGCTTTTCCCAGGTATGATTGTTTACGACCCACCTGAAGACTTGTTTGAGGATCAAGATTGGAGAAGAGATAGTGATGATGATTAAATAGCTGTGCTTGTATGTTTGTGATGTGAGAGTATGAGGAGGCAAGCATTCGCAAATGGCTTGAAGCCATTCAACGTCATTTTGGCTCCTGCGAAATTATGCGAAAACACCACAAGAGATAGATTGGTGAGGCTTCCTTCTCATTCGCGCATTTCATACAAGAAAGTTCATGTATTGCAGGGGGAAAGGTAGTTCTTTCTCACCTAAAATTGTTTCTTGGTGCACATTCCGCATTTGGATTGACACTTCTGAATGTTGAAACTAGAGGGTTAGTATAAAACCTCGTCCACACTTCGTTTGTTTGTTTTAAATTTAACATATCATAAGAATGCGTGAGATAAGAAACTATCACCGTATCCGACCCGACTGAATCTACTGCCACTAAACTATACACAGCCTTCCTTAAGCCTTTTATTATGTGGCGGTCATCTTAAAAACTTCTTTTACATGGATGTTTAAACGCTTAAGTTCACGTCGAGACCAAAGCTTCTCATCAAGATCCTTACTGTTGGTCTTGATAAATCCTTTTTTATATGTTGACGTGGTCTGTAGACTTTCTACTTGCATTATTTATGATAATACTCATGCTGAAGTGGGAATTTTACAATTATACGTCAAATGGCTTGGTTTCGTCGCTTGTAAATTATTGGGGGTTAGGTTTTGAACTTTGACAATGTCAATGCTTATCAGCGTTGGTGGCAATATTAATCTTGAGATGTGACATCCTTATAGTTATTTTCAGAATTACATAATTTTCATTCATTTTACTAGTTCGAATTATAACTCAAGTTTTTACTGCAGTGTTTTATTTCATAAAAATTTAAATTCAACTTTTTCTGGTGTTTTTTGTCTCATAAATTCGCTTTCTAACTCAAGTTCTCAACTCGAAAAAGCGAAACAAACAAGGCTATAAATAATGTATCTTCCTTAACTCCCGATCCGACCCTCTTACGAAGGGAGGTTTTTCTCATGTACACGCATAATAATACCTTTACCAACCATATGAGCTTCGCAAGTCTTCACTTTTTTACTTGAAGCCAAATATCCAATACGTCCTCTAGAAAGATTTAGCGTCTTACCAATCTGTGGTTCTCCTACATTTCATTTGGAAATATTTACGAAACCTGCATATGAGTCATGTGTTAAACAAATAATTTTGCACGTGATTGCTATGTAATGGCAAAACTAAAAATTTGTCCTAAAATATAATTAAATATCTGGGATCATTTTCAGCATCAAGGTCAAATGGTTCACACTTTTCTCATGGCCCAAACTGCAAAATCTACATTGCAAGTGGCCATATTTGGTTGGTCGGACGAGTGATTAAGTCAGATTAGATTGTCCTTATAGAAAGAAAAGTTTAGAAATGGGATGACCGACGTTAGCATACTTCTTATGCGTTATTACATCAAATTAAATTGTCTTAATAGGAATGTTCAATGAAGGCCACACGATGCCAAATAAACTAGCTTGTGGCCTTCAAATATACTAGCAATCAAGAATTGTAGACTCGTGGTGCCAGGCATGTTAAAACGAGTAGTGACTTGTCTTGAACAAGCTTTCACGTTTAAATTTCAAACATTCGACCACAAGCCTATTGTGCTAATCTTTCACTATGAGAAGGACTGTATAAAAAAAAAAACCGTAAAATCAAAATTGACCACCACCGATCGAAGAACTGACCGCCCAAAAACCAAAAAAGACGGCGCCACGTGGAACCGAAGATAGTCAGTTCGGTTAACCGACTGAACTTTTTCAAAGGCGGTTAGGTTTTGGTTTTGAGTTTAGAGGTTTGGTTAAAAACCGAACCGACCGAATCCAAATTTTTTTTTTTTTTGAATGTTGTCGTTTTTCTTTGTCCTCTCTCTGGGAAGGGGGGGGGGGGGGGGCGGGG